ATAAAAGGTGTCAGCCAAGAATACTATATCCGGCAAGATTCTCTCTATCAGATATGAGGGAAAAATAAAAGCCTTCTTAGACAAACAGAAGCTGAAGAAGTCTGCCAACATTAAACCTCCCAAACAAGAATTGTTGCAAGGAGTGCTTCTTTCTAAAAAGAAGTCCACAGAACTTGAAAATTGAAATAAATAGCTAAATTGAAATAAATAAAATTGAAATAAACAGCAAGAAAAGTAAACAAAATGGCAGAAGCATATCTTCAATAATCACCTTAATGTAATGGACTGAACTCATGAATCAAAAGAAAAGGATTGGATGAGAAAACACAATCCAACTTAAACATAGATCAAAATAGAAGGATGGCAAGCATTCTTTACAAGCAAAAGGTACTCTGGTACGCTAAAACAGGCAAGGACAGTCACACTTAGGCAAAACACATTTCCAGTTATAAAAGTTAACAACAGACAGGAATGGAACACACAGTGATTAAGGGAACACAATATACCAGCGAGGCATAGAATCATAAATATATATGTATCAAACAAGGGAGCATCAATATGTACAACACAACTTTTAATAAACCTGAAAGCAGACATCAACAGCAACATAGTAGTATCAGGGACTCCAGCACCCCATTTGATCAAAGGATAGATCAACCAGACAGAAAATCAGTAGTCTTAAATGAGAGGACAGAACAAATGGGCTAACAGGTATTTATAGGACACTGAAGCTCTTAAAAGCTGAGTACACAATCTTCTCTAGTGCATGGGGATACCATACAGTTGGCCTTAAAATAAGTGCCAATAAATTCACAAGAGGGCCTCCCTGGTGGCACAGGCGGTTGAGCGCAGCTCTGTGAAGCTGTCCACAGCCTCTGCAGTGTGGGTTCGAACCTGCCAGCAGAGGAGATACCCACATGGCACAGCAGACCTCTCCTGTCTCGCTGGCTGTTCCCCTTAGCCGTGCATTTCAGTCAATCTGCTGTTCTGCTCCCCCAACCCCGTCTCTGGTGAATCCTCTCACCCTCCCGCACATCTGGCCTGTACCCTGGTTCTTGTATGCAGCTACTGAATAAATATTGAATAACAAGAAAATCAAAGGAGAAACTTAAAAATACCTACAGACACATGAAAATGAAGAGAGCAGCTACCAGAACCTATGGGATGCAGCAAAAGTATTATAAAGAGAGATGTATATAATACTGGTCTATATTCTTGATAGACCAAAGGAGATCTAAAATAAGTAATCTAACTTTACATTTTAAGGAACTAGAAAAACAAAAGAATACATAAACCAAGCTCTCCTGGAAAAAACTGAAATAATAAAAAAGCAGAAATAAATGAAATAAATTTAAGAGATAGACTGAAAGATCAATAAAACTGAAAGCTGCTTCTTTGAAAAGATCAACAAAATAAATAAAACTCTTGGTAGGTTTACTAAGAGAAAAAGGGAGAAAAATTTAATAACTAAAATCAGAAATGAAAGAAAAGTTACAGAAACCATATCATACATATACAGGATCCTGTCAAGCTACTTAATCTTTATGCCAATAAATTAGATAACCTAGAAAAAAGTGGACAAATTTTAAAAAGTATTCAACCATACATTATTGAATCAGGTAGAAGACCTGAACAGATCATTTACAAGCAGGGCAAAACAATCAAGAATCTCCCAAGAAGACAAAACCATAAGAGGAAATGATTTCAACCAAACCTTCAAACACATACTAGTAACTACCCTTCTCAAACTTGTCCTAAAAATTGAAGAGGGAAAGCTTCCAGATGCATGTTATAGGGTCAACATTACTCTGAAACCAAAAATAGACAAGGATACCACAAAAAATTAAAACTAAGGACCAATGTCCCTAAAGAAAAGAAATTAAAAAACAAAAAAAAAAACACAAAACACAAACACAACAAAATCTTAGCAAACTGAATCCAACAATACATTAAAAGGATCATACATCCTGACCAACTGGGATTTATTTCTGAAATGTAAGGATGTCAACGACTACCACTATTCAACACACTATTGGAATTCCTGGTAGAGCAATTAGACAAGGCAAAAGTATAAAAAAAATCCAAATTGAGAAAGAAGTGGTAAAGCTATCACTATTTGTAGAAGACATAACATACATAGAAAAATCTAAAGACTCCATTAAAAACTATTAGAAACTTACAATGAGTAAGTACAACAAATGGGAAAATACGAAAACAATATACAAAACCAGACTGTGTTCCTATATGCAAGCAACAAACTGGAAAAGAAATTAAGAAAATTACTCCATTTATAATTGCATTAAAAAGAAATACATAGAAATAAATGTAACAAGGGAAGCAAAAGACCTATACAATGAAAACTAAAAGACATTATAAAAAGAAATAGAAGACACAAAGTAATGGAAAGAAATTCCCACTCATGGATTAGAAGAACTCGCAGTGTTAAAATGGCAATCTTTCCAAAGCAATATGCCAATTCAGTGCAATCCATCCTACCAAAGTAATATACCAATACAATGCATAATAATGTTTCAATGGCATTCTTCAAAGAAACAGAACAAATGTTAATGACATTTATATGGAACCATAAAAGACCCTGAATACCCAAAGCAATTCTGACTGAAAAAAAAAAGGAAGTTCTACACTTCCAGACTGCAAACTATAGCACAAAACTATGGTATCCAAACTGCATGGCACTGGGCCTCCCTGGTGGCACAGGGGTTAAAGTCTCAGCGTTTTCAAGCTATCACCAGTTACTGTACATGATTTCATCCCAGGCCAGGTAGCTAACCCACATGGCACAGCAGACCTCTCCTGTCTTGCCTGCTGCTCTCCTCAGCAGTATATTTCAGTAGATTCACCTGTTCTGCTCCCCACCTTGTCTCTGGTGAATCCTCTCACCTTCCACACCTCTGGTCTAGACCCCAGTTCTTATGTGCATAAATAAAATAAATCTTTAAAAAAAAATTGTATGGCACTAGAGTGAAAAAGACACACAGACCAATAAATAGTACTGAGATTCCAGAAATGCACCCACATTTATATGGAAAGTTAATTTATGACAAAAAAGCCAAGAGAGTACAATGAAGAAAGGAAAGTATGTTCCAAAATCAGTTCTGGAATTGAACAGCCATAAGCAAAACAAAGTATATATTAATAGTGTACGCCAAACACAAAATTTAATTCAAAGTAGATTATATACTGAAATCCCAAAATACATAGAGAAAAACAGAGGGAAAATACCCAGTGTTATTAAGTGATGTCATTGGGAACTTGACAAAAACAGCAAGGGAAACAAAAGGAAAAATAAATGGGACTACATCAAATTAGAATGTTTCTGTACAAAAAAAGAAACTATGGTGAAAACAAAAAGACACCCTACTGAATGACAGATTTTTGCATATCACAAATCCAGCACAGGGCCAAAATCACAGATCTATAAACAGCTCCCACAACTCAACAAGGGAAAAAAAATAATCTAATCCAGTGGCTGAATTATTACTTACTACTGGTTGAGACTAGACTGCATACAAAAAAGACACAGAGCAAGTCTCTCCCTCTAACCCATTATAGCCCCATCCCCATTTCATCCCACCCACCCTAATATGCACTCACTGGAAAAAGTGGGTGGGGATAGATAATGAATACTTGTAAGAAGCATAAGTCATGCTTACAGACAGCAAAAACAGAGATCTTCCCTCACCAAAATAGGAAAAGAAAAATAAAGCTAATATGAGGATTATACCAAAAGCCAAACAGATTTACTGATACCACAGTTTGTTAGGAACACAATATTTAATAAAGAACATACAGCTCCAAATTCTTCAAACTCTTTCTTATTTTAACACAGTGAAAACATTATGTAACTTTATAACTGATTATTCTTTCAGTAACATTCTTTTGTTCTTACTAAATTTGGCAATATGAGGACTTTTAAGACTACAGCAAGACATTACACTGAAGACTTAAACTTTCTGGCCAAAAGAAAGATTATTTATGATATCTTTAGTATTATTTTAGTGCCACTTTATTATTTCTTTAGTGATACTATATATTACTAAAAAACACTTGTCTTCTTTTTATAAGGTACGAGCTGAATATTTACTTAGTGGAAAAATTTAGTCAGCTAATGCTTCAGTTTAAGCTTTACTGAAATCTCAGCTTCATACCAATTGTAAATCTCATGTTAATATTGATTTCATTTATTTTTACATAATTTTAACAAAGTCTATCTAGAGAAAATCATGAATTACTTTTCACATTATTCTTTAATCCTATAATTTGTATATTAGCTTTCTCTATTTAGAGAGTAAAAAATTGTATTACAACAGTACACTGTATATCTAGGTACAATAGATACTGACCAACTGCTATATGGTGGTAAAAACAGATGATCTGATAGTGAAATGCTTGCCAATAAAAACAAAACTTTTTTTTTTTTGTAAATTAGAGGCAATCACTAAGTAAAAGTCCCCTTTTGTAGGTTAGTTGAACACTTTGAACACTTTCCACTTTCTTTAGCATAAATCAATAGTTCTAAAAATGAGAGAATCTGACCAACACAGAAACAGTTATCCAGTCAACAATTTACATGAACCCTATTTTCTAATAATTAAATATGTTCCTTTATTTAACAAATAGAATTGGATATTAATGAAACTGCAGTAAGTAAACTAAAATTAATCACAAAAGAACATAATCTAATTATGTAATATTAAAGAGATGGATTTCTTTTTATCATAAAGTGACATATTTACCATATCTTATCAAATATCTGTAAGAAATATTATATAATAGTTATTAAACAATCAATGTAACAAACACTGATAGCATAAAGATAAGAGTTATGGGAGAAAATTCATTTGTTTAGAAAATCTTCTGAAGCAAATTGACTAAATAAAATATCCCCGTCGAAATTTCTGGTGTCTAAAAAAGAGAATTAAGAAAAAAAAAGTCAAGCGAGAAAAGCAGTAAAAGTTTATAAGAAATTATATATTTACCTTGGCTCCGCACTCAGACTTATTATATTATTTTGTGGCAGAGAACTTTGGGACTTTTGTTTAAAATCCTACGAAAATGAACAAAGATTTTTAATTTACTTTTAAAACTTAATTTCAAAATCGGCTGTACAATACAGTACTGAGCAAAAAATCTTAAAAAGGGCACAGCAGAAAAAAAATCCTCTTTACAGTACATGAAAGTTTAAAATAAGAAATTCTTACATGTGCACATGTATATTTAAAATTAAGTATATTCATTACAGAGACTGCAGTCCATAATGGGTAGTTGCAATTCAGAACTACATAGATCAGTGTTCTAAAAACATTTCACCAAAAAAGCTTTATTACTCTGCATCATGCTTCGTATCTTTAAGAAATTGGTATCTAGTGCATGTTTAACATGAACATGTATAATTCCGATTTGATTATAAAAATCAATATATGAAAATACTGAAGCTAGATAATAACTCCATACATGTAAATTCAAATTCCATATATGTAAAATTTTAATGCCTATCATTCCCAATAGTCTAATGATAAATTGCATTTTTTAAATATCTGAGTTGTCAAGTAGACGTGTAAAGAGGGTTGCAATCAACCACATTTTCAACTGTTCTTGACTACAGAACTACATGCTCTTCCTCTCAGAGCACTTTGTGTTACAATTAATCTCATCTGATTCTATTAACGACATAAGTCACAGCAGATGCTATGATCCCATTTTACAGATAAATGGATAAGGGCTCTCAGCTAGATATTAAGTAATTTTTTCAAGGTCCATTATACAAGTTGGCACAGAGACTGATACAAATACCTATCTCTTATTTTCTCAATCAGTGCTCTACTTTACACATTTTCAGTACTGCCCATAGCATTCTTCAATTCATTCTCAAAACAGAACATAATTTAGGACCATTCAAATTGAAATTAAGAAGAAGAGATTATGGATTTACAAAAGTTCAAATATCAAGGGGCCTCTAATTAAAATCAGGTGAAATAAATAAGTCCAGTTACCTTACAATATAATTTTCACAATGTTCTAAAAACCTTTTTTTCACATACTTTGAAATAAGTTTATTTTATTTTTATGCTAAGATTTAATGAATGCCATAAATCATATGCAGGACACTTACACGAAGGAACATAGATGTTTTTCACATAATACAGTAAGCTCTTTCAAGTAATGCACAAATAACCTTATTTCAATGTTTATATTCATTAAGCATCTAACCTCCTTTTCCAATCCAAGAATAAAGGAATGATACATTTTAATACTGATTATAGAAGATATCAACAAACCATGTCTAGGAGGGTATCAGAAGAGAATAAGTCATACGAGCGCTTATCCTTCAAAATAAGAAGTAGTGCAGAATGTCCAATTATCTTCTTCAAACTCAATAAGGAATGAAAGAGCCTATAAAGAAAAAATTTGACTAGTATGAGAAGTAATTCAAACATTTGCAAATGGTATTTTCACTATTAATAATTGCCAATTCACCATTAACTTCATTGCACATTCACAGATTAAAACTTACAATAAATATATGACAAATTAACTCTCTTATACAAGAACTAAGTATGTAGAAAATATTGGATAATAACAAGAATTCACTATTAAGAATTCATTTGAAATGTAAAATTTCAGGCCTCCCTGGTGGCACAGGGGTTAAAGACACAGTGCTATACATGGCCCAGAAGACCTCTCCTGCCTCGTCTGCTGCTCCCCTCAGCAGTGTATTTCAGTAGATCGCCTGTTCTGCTCCCCTCTTTGTCTCTAGTGAACTCTCTCGTGGCCCCCACAACTCTGGCTTATACCTCAGCTCTAGCATGCATACATAAATAAATGTTTAAAAGACATAAAATGTAAAATTTCCTGGATACCTGAAGCACACAGAGTTTGTCAAACTTCTTATGCTTTCTATGACTATCAAACCAAATCAATAGAACATCTAGCATGGTCATCCCAATAGCTTTACAGCATTCTACACAAAGCAATGCTTTCATGCTTTACTTCGGGAAAAGTTTTAACAGGGGTTGAAAAAATAACAAAAGAAGACATGAGTTTAAATTCTCATTCACAAGAAAATTCAATCAATACACATTTCAAAAAATTTAAATTCATGAAAAATTGAAATAGTTATTGAGTTTAGGTTCATGTTCATGTTCAAAAGATATAGGAGGGCCTCCCTTGGTGGCGCAGGCAGTTGAGCACCGCACTGTGAAGCTGTCCACAACCTCTGCAGTGCCAGTTTGATCCTGGCCGGCTGGTGAGAGTCCCACATAACACGACAGACCTCTCTTGTCTCGCCCGGGAGCCTCAGCAGTGTATTTCGTCATTCTGCCTGTTCTGTTCCCTGCTCTGGCTCTGGTGAATCCTCTCACCCTCCCACGCATCTGGCCTGTACCCTGGTTCTTGTATAAATAAATAAATCTTAAAAAAAAAAAAATAGGAAAAGGAAGTTTTCCACATATCGGTATAATGAAACTGTCTTTGTCCTTGTTACTTTTCTTCATCACTGAAACTGCTAAATATATTTTTATGTTTGAGGAACCAGAGGGATACAGATAAATCAATTGATTCAAGATCAATTCTGGAATATAATCTTGAACATTGCCAGCTGCTGCTGAAGTAATACACATGGGAAAATAACCTACTTTAAGTTTTTTTCCTTCAAGTTTGATTTTTTAATTTTTTTTAAATTTTAATATTTATCAATTTTTTTTACACTTTTTAGATAATTTGCTTCCCCCCACCCCCTTCAAGTTTGATCTTTTTAATTAAGGTTTTAGAGAGCAGGCATCCCTATGCATCTATTATACTGATAGGAACATATACTTTTCCCAACAAAAACTTTTTTGGATGCCTAAAAAGATATTTTTGCCAGCATGAACTAATAACAGCAAAAGTGTAAAAAACAGCGAGAAATAACTTCTTCTTGCAGAAGATTAAGATTACTTTCAAAGACCTAAATGATCACAATCAAGAGTTTCTAATTAAAAGCATTTATGTATAAATCTATATCTAATAGTATTAAAATCTTACCGATTTGAGTTCAGGTCATCTTCCAGCTACTTTCTCTTTCTCAGTTTATTCAAATGTCTTACTAGAAGATAACAATATACTAAAATACTGTATGAATGAATACAGTTCAATTATAGAAACAAGTCCCTCAATATAAATTTATTTTAGTTATCTACAGTTATATTTATTAGGCCATCTGAATCTGCAGAATAAAAGTCATGTTTTCCATCAGCTGAATTTGTTTTTATGTATTTTATGTATTTTAACCCTAATTAAACTGAGTGAATACCATAAGTCAATGTTCACATCCTAAATGCACACACAGCTTTCTAACAATATGAGCACTAAAGAGTTGCATAGCATTCCCTCCAAATGCTTTCTCTGGATGCATAAAGCTGTTTTGTTTAAAACTAGGCTAAACTTAACACAGAAAATAAGTTTTGGAAACACTGAGTAAAAGAAATTTTTTGTTTCAACATTTTATTAATGTCGGATTTCTCTGAGCCTCTATTTTCTATCATGCCCTCTTTCTACTATTATGGAATAGTTCAGGGAACATTATCTAAGAATCAGACTTCTAGCCTGTTATCATTATTGACATTTAGTCATCATATTTGTCATTCAATAGTTTGATCTATGGTAGGGTGCTCAAAGTTACCTACTTTGTTAGTTTTTCTCCTTCATTAATTACAATTTATGAATTGGCAGAATTCTGAATCTTTACTTCATTATTTCTTCTCCTCCTCCACAGATACATTATCCAAAGCTGAACATCTAATTACAAACACTATCCCAGTTTGATTCATTTTTTTATAACATGATTAGAATTAACTTCCAAATATACCATGTATATTCCTGCTCTGCAGTTTATAATTATATATAAGTATTGGATCTACAGCTGAGAGCATGACTGTAAGAGTCACCCTTAGATGGCAGGTTTCTTTCATATGTATAAAAATATAAATACATTGTTTTGGGTTGCTATTACCAGTAGTCAAATGTAATCCTTAACTTATTTATTTGTTCGGAGACATTTCTTTCTACATCTGAATAAATTACTGAATAAACAGTAATCAACATTCCAATAACAAAAGAATACTCAATGCTAACTGTCTCTTTGTTTATAATTCTCTAACTTGTGTTTTGAAATTTCCTACTTAAAATATCTGCGCTAATGACTTGATAATTGTTTATGACTTTACAATGAAGTGTGAAGTGCTCGCAAAGCATATTTACAAATGTCAAGTACAATTTGAGAATTAGTGTGCCTTTTTTCTGTAAGATATGAGTTTGTGCAGGAATATATTTACACACTAAATGCAATATAAAAAAACAAAAAGAACTAAGGAGACAGGCATCAGAAAAGATTATGAGACAGAAAATGTCCCGTAGCAAAATCTCAATGACCTACAGTCAAATCTCTTTCAGTACAGCAATCAGATAGAGAACAAGTAGAGATGCAGAAGAATGACTTCTCTACTGCCTCTTAGGAGCTCTACTGTGGTTTGATTCTATTAGTCTCACTTTTAAATTCCCTCTAAACCAAGTAGATAGGAGGAGGTAAAAAGGATAAATGGAGGCTCTGAACTTACTAACAAAAATGCTTTCTATGGGGAAAAAAACATCATTATCACCCAGTGAGTACTTTCCAATGTAAGTCTAAAAATCAAAGTATAACCTTCAGTAGGTAGATGCCAAATGTATTTGTTTACACATAAGGTGAAAAAATATTCAAAATACTACCTCAAATATATTTTTATATTTTTTTATATTTTTTAAGATTTATTTATTTATTATTTATTTATTTATTTATACAAGCACTGGGTACAGTCAGAAGCGCAGGAGGGTGAGAGAATTCACCAGAGCCAGAGCGGATAGCAGAACAGGCAGACTGACGAAGTACACTGCTGAGGGGAGCAGTGGGTGGCAGAAGACGTCTGCGCGCCATGTGGGACCCTCACCCGGCAGCCGGGGATCGAACCTGTGCTGCAGAGGCTGTGGGCTGCTTCACAACCCAGCGCTCAACCGCTGTGCCACTGGGTTGGCCCTATTTTTAATATTTTATTTTATATAGTTCTTACATCATTTTTCATTTTTGTACAATGTAAGCACTTTCATTTTGGTTATATATCCCATGCAGTTCTGCCCCCCTTATTTTGACCCTAATCCCTCCTTTCCCACGCCCACTCCCCAGTAGTGTGTCTCTGGTTTACAGCTGCTTGTTGATTTTTATTTTTTCTTTATTATAATTAGCCTTTTTCCTGGTCCCTTATTTAGGTTTTCTAAATTCCTGCTATGAGTGAGATCATCCGATATTTTTCTTTTTCTTTCTGGCTTATTTTGCAGACCATGATTCCTTCCAGCTACATCCATGTTGCTGCAAATGAAACATTAATTCCAAAGGACACATGCACCCCTATGTTTACAGCAGTACTATTAGCTAAGCTATGGAAACAACCCAAATACCCAAAAATAGATGACTGGATCAAGAAAATGTGGTATATATACACAACGGAATATTACTCAAATATATATATATTTTAAACATGTTTTTTTTTTTTTTAAAGATTGATTTATTAATTTACAGAAGAACAGGGGTACAGGCCAGATGCACGGGAGGGTGAGAAGATTCACCGGAGACAGAGCGGGGAACAGAACAGGCAGAATGACGAAAGACACTGCTGAGGGGAGCAGTGGGCGAGATAGGAGAGGTCTGCTCGCCATGTGGGACCCTCGCTGGCCGGCCGGGATAGAACCAGCACTGCAGAGGCTGCGGACAGCTTCAGAGTGCTGTGATCAACTGTCTGTGCCACCAGGGGAGGCCCTCAAATATATTTTTAAGGACTCAAGTCACCAAAGGAATTCTTAAGATATTTTCCTCATTTGCATGGCAGTCAAAATATTATAATTAAAAAATTAATTAACACTTATTACAATTAGTAATTGATCATTTGCAAATCAATTTTTTAATGTTGAGTTATGTGCTGTAAATACTGTCCACATGTGGGAATATTTACAGAAAGGTTATTCACTTTTAAAATCTCTATTATCAGAAAATCACAGTATATTCTTAATGATTTAAAAATATTATCAAACCATGCCATTTTGAGAGGGAAAATTTGAAAGTAATAGTCTGAAATAATAATGAACAATACTCAAAATTCCTTTCCCAATGCAGGAATGCTTTATGCACTGACCTTATTACATAATCATCCAAACTGGCAAAATAAGGGAAATTTCATCATCACAAAACATAAGTCTTTCAATTTTAAGGAAGTTCTGTTTGCAAAGTCCTCTGCTACTCTGAAGCAAAGTGTGTATTGTTTCTAATTTTGTAATATGAAAAGAACTAGGCTTTTATTCCCTCATTCATATGATAGATCTTCAAAGAGTTAAGATGGCTTTGATATCAACATTCAAGCCATATATGTCAAAGTTTCTGGGTTCATTGTATTTTCTGGTGATGCTTCTAGGTTACTGTTTGTTATCAGTGCCCCAAGCTATCCAGAAACAAATGAACATGAAATAAATCAAACTGCTATACAATAAGGTGGGACACTTTATTTTCCTGAATTATGATTACGATTTATATGATTCCAAATCCTTACACTGTACTTAGGGAAAAAGTGACATCAATTTTACAATAACTTTTATTAACCTCTTCGCAGAAATGTACTGCAATAAAAAGTTAGGAAAGCTAGATTTTATGAAAATTTCTTCAAAAATGTTTTGAAATTGGTGTTGCTTTTTTACAGCATTATTAATGTGGTCTGAAGATACATTAATAAACAACTTCATCAAAAGTTATATGCTCACGGGCCTCCCCGGTGGCACAGCGGTTGAGCTCTGGGTTGCGAAGCTGCCAGCAGCCTCTGCAGCGCCGGTTCGATCCCCGGCTGCTCCCCAGCCACCGGAGGAGGGTCCCACATGGCGCGCAGACCTCTCCTGCCGCCCGCTGCTCCCCTCAGCAGTGTACTTCGGTCCTTCTGCCTGCTCTGCTCCCCGCTCTGGCTCTGGTGAATTCTCTCACCCTCCCGCGCTTCTGACTGTACCCAGTGCATGTATAAACAAAAACAAACAAATGAATAAATAAATAAATAAAACATGCCTCTATTTAAAAAAAAAAAAAAAAAAAAAAAAAAAAAGTTATATGCTCATGACTCAAAATATTTAAAGATTCAGTTTATTCAGTTTTAAGATCACCTTTCAATAATTATATTACCTGATTCCATAATCCACCACGACCCAATCTTTTGCAGTTCCTGTGATAGCATCATGATGTTGAAACAGTCCCAAATTCCTTCTGGCTTCTGTCAGTGCCGTGTAATGAGATGACGAAAGAAATATATCTATGTCATATTTCTGAGCTTGTTTCAGGGCGAAGTAGTAAAGAATTTCAGCAGCCCTAATTGCATGAAACAGCCATTAATTTTTATATCAAAGCAAGTGTCTTAGTTTACTATCTAAAATATGTGGAAATGATACATTTAAAATAATTTTAAATCCACAATTTTGGTGCAAACAGTATTTGAGAAGGATATTGATGATAAACATTTCCAAAAAAAAAAAAAAAAGTATCCAAAGTATCCAAAGAATCCACCTAATAAATATTAATTCTCAACTATCAAAGTATCCACCTAATAAATCTTAATTCTCAACTATGCTGTTACATAGATTCCTTACTTTACTGGTTTCCTACAAAGAAGCCAGTACCATTAGCAGCAAAATAGGTTTTTTTATATATAACATATTGAAAAAATTATCTTAACATAGCCATTAGTACTAGATATTTTTGTTCATTTTTCTCCTTGAGAGCATCATATATACCATGAACATGATCAGAACTCACTCACAAGTACAGATTAGAAAGACAGATGGAGAAAGAATGGTCACAAGAGGAGAGAATAGAAGTAAAATGATGTTTCAGTGACAAATTAGTCTAAATGTGAAATAATAAAATACAACAGAGAATTCAATAATATAAACTGAAGAATGATAATATAAATTGGGGTTCTCATTTATTTTATTATTTTTTTAAAGATTTATTTATTTATACAGGCACTGGGTACAGTTAGAAGCGCGGGAGGGCGATAATTCACCAGAACCAGAGCAGGGAGCAGAACAGGCAGAAGGACCGAAGTACACTGCCGAGGGAAGCAGCGAGCGGCAGGAGAGGTCTGCGCGCCATGTGGGACCCTCACCGGGTGGCCAGGGATCGAACGGGCGATGCAGAGGCTGTGGGCAGCCTTGCAATCCAGCGCTCAACTGCTGCGCCACCGGGAAGGCCCCCTCATTTATTTTAAAGTAAAGAATAGTTTAGTGTGAGACTAGTTTCCAAGCAAGAATATGAAGGTTTAGATTTCCATCTTTTTTTTTTAATGACAGGATATAATTCAAGATAGATTTCTAATAAGTACTTTAAAAGGAGATACTGGGGAGGCCTCCCTTGGTGGCGCAGCAGTTCAGCGCTGGGCTGCAAAGATGCCCGCAGCCTCTGCAACGCCAGTCCTATCCCGGGCCACCAGTGAAGGCAGTGGCGCGCAGACCTCTCCTGCCGTCCCGTTGCTCCCCTCAGCAGTGTATTTCGTTGGTCTGCCTGTTCTGTTCCCCGCTCTGGCTCTGGTGAATTCTCTCACCCTCCTGCACTTCTGACTGTACCCAGTGCTTGTATAAATAAATAATCTTAAAAAAAAAAAAAAAGAAAGGAGAGCTACTAAGGACTCCTTGGGGGCCCAGGGGTTAAGTCTCAAGTGCTATCACACTATCACCACAATGGCCTGAGTACAATGGCCCAAGTTTGATCCCTGGCCAGGGAGCTAATCACATGGAGCAGCTGACCTCTCCTGTCTTGCCCACTGTTCCCTGTCTCCGTGCATTTCAGTAAATCTGCCTGTTCTGCTCCCTACTCTGTCTCTGGTGAATCCTCTCACCCCCTGCATCTCTGGCCTACACCCCAGTTCTTCTCCACAAAAATAAATAATTTAAAAGAAAATTAAAAAAGATACTGCTTGACGGGTTAAAAAAGGTAACAAAGTTCTTTATACCAAACATCTACAGATGGTGGAGAGAATCAAGGCAAACAGAAATGTATCACGATTCAGGAAAAGGAGAGGTTCAAGATACTTTTTTCTGTTAAAAAAAATGAACTCTTTTAAATTGTTGAAATAATGAAAATACACTAAATGACCTCCACTTTTAAATTCTAACATTTCCAAATTTCATGGCATGGGAATCAACAAATTTAAATTAAGGAAAGGGGCGTTTGTGTGTTCATTTATATCCATATCAAAAATTTCTGATTTTGAAAAGAGTATATATACAGTAAAACAGTTGATTATAAAAAAATTTCTTCATGAAGTTTTTCTATTTTATCTTTCTTTTTCTTCCATTTTTTTTAGATAGATTTATTTATTTATTATTTATTTATTTATTTATACAAGCACTGGGTACAGTCAGAAGCACGAGAGGGTGAGAAAATTCACAAGAGCCAGAGCAGGGACAGAGCAGGCAGAAGGACCGAAGTACACTGCTGAGGGGAGCAGCGGGCGGCAGGAGAGGTCTGCGCGCCATGTGGGACCCTCCTCTGGTGGCCGGGGAGCAGCCGGGGATTGAACTGGTACTGCAGAGGCTGTGGGCAGCTTCGCAACCCAGCGTTCAACCTCTGCGCCACCGGGGAGGCCCATTTTATCTACATTTTTTACAAATAAGTCATGAAGATGAAAGAAAGATAACTATTACGAGATAATAAACTCATTTTCAAATAAATTAATTATATTTTGACATTTATAGTTACTGTATGACTTTCTGTTGTTTTATCTTAATAGAGCATTTTTTTTCTAAATATATAACCAGCAATAGCTACTTCACCTTAAATATGTTCAATCAACTAAGTTGAAACAACATTAGTAATTCCTTACAACTAAAAAAATACTTGATACTTAAAAATCACACAGTGATCCAAAGAATCTCTTAGATATTTAGTAGTTGCTCTGCTTTTATCATAGTTTAGAATAACATAATAGATAACTAATAAATATTCATTTAGGTAAGAATGTATAATACTGCATAACATGTAAATACTCTTTAAGTATGGTATTTATTATATTAATTTATTATATACTTATTATATACATATAATACAACATATATACATATTATAATACAACATATTATATACATAAAATACAACATATTCGTATTTTTAATATTTGCGAATATTTAAAAAAAGCAGCCCAAACTTAAGCTACTGAAATAACACACTATATAATAAAGTAGAACCCTTCATCATTTTTATAAAAGGGTTTCCAAAATGTACTCAGTTTCTGCAACTCTTTACAAACAGGTAGCTATAACTTTTTAAGACTGAGACTAATATGCAAATTAGTCATCATGAATTCATTAAATGAATTCATCATGAAAATGAGTTACTCTCCTGGGCTACACACACCTAGAAAAAGTCTCAGGAATCCAGGGGACCTTACTAAAAACCTATCAAATTCACTCAGACTTGTACTCTTGAGGTGATAATCACAAGTCACATGTGACTATCTACAGTAAATTAACTGAAATAAAATGAAGAGTAATTCCTCGGTCACACTAGCCACCTTTCAAATGCGCCACGGCTACATGGTATGCCAATACGTAGCTAGCAGCTACCTATTAAACACTACAGAAACAGGAATAAAATATCTCTATCACTGCAACAAGACACTAGACTTAGGTAACTAAAAATTCTACTAAATAGAGCTCATTTAGTGTTTTTGCTTTCTATTGATTTTTCTGTCTTCTCCATGTCAGTTTCCTTTTCAACCAATTGCTCTGCCTCTATCAGTTCTTATCTTCTTCAAATTTTGTTCTCCTAAGCAGAAAATCATACCTATAGAAATGCATTTCAAATAAATGAGAATGGAGATGGAGTCTCTGAAGTCTGCTAACACATAAAATACATCCATTTTAGAGTATGAACTTTGACCATTGAGATACATTTGATATTTTGACCCTTGTCCCTGTTACAAATATTCAGCCTGCAGGACACTAACTTGCAGCCACACGTAACAATATCACTGAACAGTATCATGGCATGAAAACAGTACAGATAATTAATATAAAAAGTATAAAACATAGACTACAATTCCCAGAACATCTAATTAAATTAACTGCTTCAACTTCCAGAAAAAAAAAAAAACACTCGTAATAATTCAATTATGCTGAGGAGGCATCTCTCTGATTGCATTAAAATTTCACAATTACATTAAACACATCCTAACACTGCATAAATGTCACATATTATGCAAAACTGTACTGAAAAGACTATGCTAACATAAAAGAAGTGAATTAATAAGTGTAGCTATCTAAAGGTAAATATACCTTAAATGGGATTCCAATATCCTATCCAATCGTTTGTAAAAGGGCCTGGATGTAAAGTAACCACTCCAGTAGTGATCATCACGGTCCGCATAAGTGAAAAAATCTCCACTTAGAACAGGGAACAGCAATTGGCTATTCTCTCTACTGGCTGCATCTTCTTTATCCACTGCATCAAAATAGTCGGACAAAGTCCCAAATTGTATCTGTTAAAAAAATAAATAAATAAAAGGTACACTTAAAATTACCTTACACTGTAAGGAAAAGTCATGAATAAACATTTAAGATGTGATTTCAAGTTAAGACAAACACAGCTTAGATTTTATAAATTTCAAAATCAGGAGAAAATACTCAGTGACTCTTTCTTTTACCTGCATGAAGTTTGAGAGAATTTTTTTTTTTTTTGAGAGAGAAAATGTATACACCTAAGTAGTTAGAAGAAGAAGTAGTTAGAAGAAGAGTAGTTATACATTAGATCTACAAATGTAAGGACAGAAAAAGTCATACAAATCTCCAGAATTTTAAAGTGTGCAAGGGTAAGGGCATGGAACAGTGCAGAAATAAATAAAAGTTGGGGGAATGAGCAAAAATGAAAGACATTTGAGCAAAATGTTCCCACAAGTCTGGAAGAAAAGTTTTAGTATCGTTATTAAGTATATGAATGTACCATGTGTACCTGCTGTATGCCCTGCCCTGCCCCACCCAACACTGCTCTATTTGAACTCTTACAAGGACTTAGGAAAAAATTCTGCAAATCATTAAAAAATTGACTTTCTATTTAAGAAGTAACAATGAGTAGGAGTAAAACACAAAGAGTGATAAAAACTGCAAAGTTGACAGTTGAAACAAAAAGGTCTTTCAGACTAAAGATTAAAATTACCAGTAGATAAGCCCATTTTTATAAGTCCAAACTGTTCTACAAATCAAAGGAGAAAGAAACATTATGCAAGACCATGTTAACATATACAAAGACACTGTTGTTAGAAATAAACACATAATTCTACAGGGAATGCGTTTCATTTTAAGAGTAATCTTACTAAGTTAGTTGATTCCTTCCTTTTACATACATAGACAAACACACCCCCACACACACACCTGATAGATATTTTGATTCAATGTAGTAGAAAAATAATTAAGATTAAAAACAGTAGATACTCTAGAGCAAAGTTGCTAAGTGCAGGAATCTGGATTCAGATGGTACGTGTTAGAATTTACTTCTACCTAATTTGCTTGAGCATATTATACAGTGCCTCTGTGCCACTCTGTTGCAGCCAGTAGGGTTATCAGTAAAATGTTTTGAAATATGACTGGCAAACAATGGTGTAAGTTTTAGCTATCATTTCTCCACTGCAAAGGGAAACATTCCAACTAGAAAAAAAGAGATTTAGTAAGACAAATACTTATTATATATTTGTGATATAATAAATTTTGGTAACAGCAAAAGAGATTACTGAGTCTTCAAGTTTACATTAGAGTAGAGAAATACAAACTTCAACTATATTATCTACTCTTATCTTGGTTTCACAAGAAACTGTCTTGGACAGTTAATTTATTTGTTCCTCAGTTTACTAATCTATAATGGGAGTGATTACAATTTTTTGAAACAAATCATGTATAGAGAATTATTTTTCAGTCCTTCAGGTTTGAATTAAGTTTGTGAAAAAGTCCACTAGTCTACTTACATAAAGTTTACTCTTCAAAATTACCAAGAAGGAAGTATTTTCATTCGGTTAATACCAAAACTTAATTATCTTTAAGAGGTACATTCCTTTGTTAATGTTAACTGTACTTGCCATGTATAACCAAATTTTGAACATAAAGGGATTTTTGTTATCTGAGAGAAATCCATTATACAGATGAGATCACTAAGTATTTTGCCATTATAATTATGCATACTTCCCAAGCTCACTTATTGGTCCAAAGTTAATGTATTTTCCTGTATATGAATTCCCCAGTGTTCTCGTGTTGTACACACACTAAACATCATCTACTCTTTCTGTTATGTTCTGTTACAGAATGTGACAAATAGTATTTCCTGTACCATGGTCTGTATAGTAATGTGATTAAATGAGTAGTAACACTCATAATATTAGTCATAATATTAGCTTATTATTTGCCATTAATATCGTGTTGTTGTTGTTTTTTCACTTGAGCAGTACTTTATTATTTTTATTTTAGCTTTTTTAATTGAGGTAATGCTGGTTTACAACACCGTAGATGAGACCTACAGTGTAAAGTTCACACCTCTTACCACAACCCAACCATCACCAGAGGACTCATAATCTTCCACCTTAGTCCATTTCCTCCCCATCCCTAACCTCCCCCACATTGTAGGCTCAGTTCTATAGTCAGATTTGTTGGGTTTGTTTCTATTTAGATTTGTCTGTTCTTTGTTTTTAATTTTTTTAAATTCATGTCTTTTTCCTTTAGATTCATATTGCTTAACATAATCCCTTTCAATTCTATTATCTTGCAAATGGCATGATTTTATCTTTTCCTTATAGCTGAGTAGTATTCTAGTGTGTATACATACCACAGCTTCTAATACATTCATCTGTCCTTTTGCAGGGTAGAAAGTTAAAGATCTTAAGGCTATACAGGCTAAGAATATCACATGTAATCTTGAGAAATGCAAGTCAGAAGACTATCAAACATTCAGATCTATGATAAAGCTATAAGAAGTTAGAAAGTATGACATTAATCAAATAGACAAAATTGAATAGAGAATCCAGACAGACCCCACAAGTGCAGTCTCACTCAGGATAAAGATTATGCTGCAATGGGCAAACTACATCATCTCAATAAACTATGCTGCATATCCTATAGCTGAAATAAATATCTTGATCCCTACTCTCAGATGATTCACAAAAATCAATTCCAAATTACAGATGATAGACCTAAATGTTGAAGGCAAAACAATGAAGCTTCTAGTGGATAGCTTCATAAGATATGTATTTTCACAACAATAGTGTAAACGAAATTTCCTCAATAAAATATAATTAGTACTAGTCATTATGGAAAATGTTGTTATAGGAGACTTAATTAAAATTAAGCATTTCTGTTTATCATAAGATAGCATTAAAGGGAAAAAACAAGTTACATAGTGAAGGAGACACACCTATATAACTTTTATCTGGAAAAAAAAAGATTCAATTCAAAATATATAAAAGAAATAAAATAGGTACAAAAAAGACAGTGCAATTTAATAAAAAACAAAACAAAACAAAACACCAAAGACTTAAACGGGCATTTCACAAAAGAGGATACCCAAATGAAAATAAACCTATGAAAAGAGGCTGAACCTCACTATTCACCAGAGATATGCAAAATAAAACCATCACATTTATCATAAAGGATAAAAATAAAGAAATTTCAAACAATGAAAAGTCTGAGCAATTGAAACTGTCATACAACACAACAACAGGTGCATCTATCTCATAATACTGTTAAGCAATATCTACTTAATAATGTTGAACATGTGCATACAAAGTACCTGAAAAACCCAATCGCATTTTACACCCACATAAACACATGCACACGAACACCAAAGCATGCATGAAATGTTCAAAGCACCTTCAACTGTAGTAGACAAAAACTGGAAGCAACCCAATTTTCTGTCAAAAGCAGAATAAACACTTTTAGTATTTTAATTACCTTATGAAATTGCTCAAGTGGGCAAAGAAGGAAATAGGTAAAATATGAAAAACAGGATCTAATTCTTAGAATCAGGCTATAAATCTTTTAATGAATCTTAAAACTATTCCCCAGGAAAACATATTTAGAAATAAGAGAACCACTTTCATACATTCTCCCCTCTGATCAACTGTTCATGAATGAGATTCATCTTTGAGGAGATTACAGAGATGATTTAAACATGGTACTGTATTGCTTAGATTCATAATCTGGTAGAAATTCACTTGCAAGTATCTTGAATAAATATGATATTCAAGTTTATTTATGTACCTAATACTATTTAAATTTACTTAATAGGCTTGAATTTTCACTACATAAAATGTGGTCCAGGATCAGTTATCTAATTTCCTACAAAGTAAAATTACTTGCTTTCTAGAGTATTTTCATATATCTTCTAATGTCATAAAGGTGACTGTAATAATATGTTGGATAGTTTTCTCATGTAAGGTCTTGTTTGAACCCTGACTCACACTAAGCACCTGTTAAGCACTGCTTTTATGAGATTAAGAAAATTTGCAGCTAATCGGGATATATTATTGAATTATTGATTTTTTAGATGTAACAATGGCATTATTATATTTTTATTAAACAGAGGTTTTATCATTTAGCTATACATACTGTAGTTGTTATAGACAAAACTGTATTATTTCTGAGATTTGCTCCAAAATAACGCCAGGAAGAGGGGTAAGATGAAGGTGGAACATAGCAGAAATAAGAGTAAGTTTGCTTAAAGTTTTCCATAAGGGGACAAATAAAGAATAAGAACCATAGGCAAATGATTAAAAGTCTTCTCATTTAAAAAAATATGCTAGTGTATTCTCTAGACATAATACATATGTTTGCAAAATTCTCTATGTGTTCATCTGTATCTGACAATCTAATTACTACTAAATCATAAAAATGCAATTGTCAGAGATAAACAATAAATTTTCTGGTAGAAAAACAGGACCACTGAAAAATGAGTATCACAACTTAATAGCACGTTTCCAAGCCCAAACAATACTTCTTTAACCCTCAAGGAGTAGCAGGAAAGGGACAACTTTAAAAATGTAACTATAGTATAAGATAATTTCCTCTTAATAAATTATACTTTCACATAAGGACTACATATCCTAAGAAATAGTGGGATGTCAGACAAAGAAATTAAGTCTATGGTGTTTTTTTCTCATTTAATAATGAAGGCTCAACCATGAATACAGTATCAGATATAAATGATTTCTCATTACCTTAACATTAAGACTAGGTTGAGAATTCATATAATCAAAAAGCATCTGGTAATTCTTGAACTGATGATCCCATTCTGTGCGTTCACAGTAGCGGAAGTCATCTCCAAGTGGGGCCAAAACAACTTTAGTACGGAAAAGTTTTGACTTTTTTCGGTACTGGTCTAGAAGCATCTCAGCCCTACAAAAGAAAAAGGGGAGATATGAATAACATTTTACCTATGTTCCAGATTAGTATGATTTTTAAGACAAATTGTTGAAACTACCATACTAATTTTCATGATTAAAAGATTGACAAATTCTTATCAGGCAGAAAACCCTACAGCTTTTAATGAATATCCTTAGAGAAACAGTCAAATACCAGCTTTAACATACAATTATTGGGGGGGGGGGATCAATGCCTTCTTAAAGTCCAGCACAGAGACTAGATCCCAGATAGACCATATTTTAAAATAATTTACTTCAAGAAGACAATAAGGATTTCTTATCTATATGAACTGTAGAGTTTGCCTTGCCAAAAGTTCTTTTTTTTAATTTAAAATACGACTGATTAAACATAAAAAAGGTATTTTGAAAAAACTGAATCTAAAACCTTACTGCTCTTTACAGAAAGAAACCATCAATAACTCACACCTGCCATCAATATGCTGAGTCCTGTCACCATTCAAGATCCATATCAATACTGATCAACAGATAAAACTAAAGAATTAAAACTTACTTTGCTTTGGACCTCTCCAGGCCATGACTCAAAAGGTCAGCCAAACACAACATATAAAAGGTAAGCTTTTATAGTCTATATTCTAGCATTATGCAGAAAACCCTCTGCGAAATGTTTTACCGGGGTACCATTTCAGGAAGTCTGGAAATACAAACTACCTAAGAGAAGGACTGACAAAAATGAAATTAAACAGAGTAGTTCTCAATATTTATAATGCCAAAGTTTAATACATTAGTGATAAATGACAAATATGCTCTTCACCCAGAATTTCAATTTTTCTTTCAAGGGTTATCCAGAAGCAAACTCCAGTTCACACTATGAAGACTTATGAAAGGAACTCAAAAACATCAATAGTGGAAAAGAGTATTTTCTAGAAATTATGAAGACACTTCACTGATTTTAGAATCTTGTATCTTTGTCTAATGATAGTCTCTAAAAATGCTTTGCAATTATTATTAGCAAAAATGCAATGGTTTGATAAGCAAACTATAACCATACTATTCTTATATAACACACAACATACAACATTTAGTTTCCTGAGATTAGCATTTGGAAGAGTACTTAATATTTAGTAGTATGTTTTAAATATTCCAGATGTCACCAAAAGATGTAAAATTGATTACTAGTTAAATTAAAAAAATACAAGATTAATCACATAGGAAGATATATAAAGCCAAAAGAAATAAGGGGGAAAAAACCCAAATATGTAGTAACAGATATAAGATAAACTTTGACTGAGAATATCAACTCTATCACCCAGGTAACCAGCGTAAAAAACATCATTTAATTGCTTCCTGAGGTTTACTACAAGATATGTCACATCTTACAAGTAATACAATGTAAGTAGAAAGAAATCACAAATAGTAAAGAAGTCTCTTTTCCCACATATGCATCTATGCAACTCTCGAGTTCCTGCTCAGAAAGCATCAACTCTGGGACAGCCACGGGACCACCTGTGCCATCCTCAAGGTACGTGATGAACTAATGACAAATGAATTAACAAAAACATTTTAAGATGTGCAAGTGTAATATGTCCTTCACTTATTCTACCAGGTGAGAAATGTCAAACTACGTAGAACCAAGAGAAAAAAAATCTCTGAAACATGGTATCATCTCATATACAAATCATTATCACATTAAAATATATGGTACTAGACCAAAACCGAACTTGGTGAAGAATGGTATTTCTGCATCTATATAGTGAAGGAAATCTGCCGAAATGAAGGTAGCAAACATGTCCTCTTCAAGTTACAGTTAAATCTCATTTCCTTTACAGTATTAAAAAGTCAATTCCACTAAGCTGGAATGCCCAAGTTAAATTTATTCATCAGAAAACTAAAAGGAAGCTGGTATCTGAATGTTAATTAACCAAGAAAGATTAACCAGTCAAGATTATTAAGAACCTTTTGAAAAAAATCTACATAAATATTACATAGACTCACTCATCTGCCCCCAGATACCAGTCCACTTGCAGAATCATGGAACTGAATGAGCTCTTTTGGAGACAAATATCAAAAGAATGAGACAAGGAAAAAAAAACCAACTTTTTTCCCTCAATAACTTATCTTAAATAGTATTCTTAGCAGCATCCAAAGAGAAAAAGAGGGATCTGACAACACCTGCAAGTGCACAGGAACTCCCGAATTGAAACATTTGACTAGTTTTCAAGAAATTCCCTACCTCTGACCAACTTTGCTGAGAGGGTTAGTATAAATACCTAACTCCACGACAGATGTTTTCTCAGGCAAACAAAAAAGGGATTCCCCCTCCTCCACATACCACACTCCTCTTCACTATACCTTTTTCTACCTGTTACTACATAATATACTGGATTATTGTCTTTTGCCTAACTTGTCTAACCCTAGAAAGCAGACTTTGGGTATTCCCCTCTGATTCTCACTAATCAAGAGCATGAAATCAGGCTGATCTCTAAATCTTGGACATTTTTTCTAAACAATGAAAGTCAGATTTTGATAGAAGTTGAATCAAGATTAGGTGTGCTAAGATATTTTTGTGTATGCCACAGCAAGAAGCTCAGAGTGGAATATTTTCTTAATGAACACAAACAAGAGACCCAATCTGACCTTCAACCTCAAAAAACACTAAGTGTTTAGAAACACATTTTTAAAAAGCAATTTTTTAATAAATAGATGTGATAAAGAACCGATAAAAGATGTTACTTCATTTAAAAGCCTATTTTATTTTTCTAGCAGAGTTAAGTGGTTTATATTACAACACAATATTTATTTAAATGTGTTACATACTACTAGTCTAAAGTAAAGAAATTGAACTTTTAAAGCACCAAAATTAAAATTAGTTATGTTGGTTTAATGAGATGCTTCCATAATTAGCACAATTTTCTTAAAAAAAAAAAAAAAGATTTTCTGTGATTTTTATTTAAACATCTTTAAGTACAAATTTTCCTAATTAAAGTTTTCTAGAAGTCAAAAACATCAGAATGATGCAATGATATATATTCATCAGAACTGGGCAGTATTCACTATTATTGAAATTGTTATTAAGGGAATAGATAATTATATTCTCCATGTGTTCCATTTCAATAAATGTGTTTTTGTAGTTGGGCTACTTTTCATAACAATTTATATAATAGAGACCAGAAGCTTTATTATCAACAAAAGCATATGAAATCATTCAAACACAGTAGAAGGCTTTTACAATGAGGGCAAAGGAGATGAGAATAACAGTGTATTATAGGTTATCCATTGTATATTGATCTATTATTGTTCACTTTCCATTAAGTCACCACATGTAAGAGGAATAGTCAAGGCTCTTGCATATTTAAGCTGCTTTATATCTGGTTTGAATGAATACCTTGAACAAGGCTAATATTGGCTACTGAAGTTTGTTTATTCAACCCTTTAGCAATAAGCAGCTGAGTTGCTCTTTGTTTGAAATGTCTTATGAAATGTATATTTTCATACCTGTTTTGGACATTTTGATGAGTTATTGTTTCTGGGGGGACTCCCCAGGGACAACCAAATCTGCCTCCAGGAAACCGTTTAAAATCAAACTGGCAGCATATTTTAGGATCAGGTCCGCAAGTGTGAGGGATGTCATAGCTGTAGAAGGGCATCATGTGGCAAAAAATATCTGTGCCAGATCCCAGATCTAAAATAAAGAGCCAACAGACAAACCTGCATTTATAAACTTTGTTTTCCCAAAACTGTTCAAGATGCCAGTACATACACAAGTTCTACCCTAAATCAACCACCCCTTTAACTACTAGTACACATGCCCCAACAGTATTTAATGGTCACCAGCCTGAAGGAGAGTATCACACTCAGTTTCTATCTACCTCTCCTATCTAACCTTAGCAGAGACAGAAAAGTCCCATCACAAACCAGCACGTGCTGACCTGGAAGGATACACTGTGCAGAAGCAGCAGTTAAAATCGGTTCATCCACAATTTTATGGCCACGTCCATCCCTGGCTGCCAGTTCCTGCCATATCTGTTCCCATCTCAGGTAAAAGGAAACCCTGAGAGAGACCATTATATTAGCTGCAGAGGCTGAGTGAGAAGAGAGAAAGGGAATAAAGGGGGAAACTGAAAGAACAACCGAAGAAGGGGGGAGTTGCTTATGAAAACACTGAGCAAATTCCTATCCACTTCTTGCAGTGAGAAGGAAGTGCAACCAGGAGAGTTCATGGAGTTCCCTGAAGTCTACCAATAGCAATGGGACTTTTCACCAAGAAGATGCACAGGAAAAGAAAAAATAAATTTCAAAATCAAAAACAAGTACAAAAACAAAGCAAACAAACAAAAAGGGTATGAAAAATGAGAGACGATTTCTGATGCTGAGTTGTTGATTAAAACCTCTATGCCAACATATACTTATGTCATTTCCCTTAATAGGTTAGAAGCCTACCACCAAGTGAGATTGGAGGACTTAACTAGTAGTTACAAGTAGTCACCTTTGTATGAGCCTAACCTCTAAATATCTCTCCCCTTTATTTTTGCATGGGTTTACAATTTTCAGCAATGGGTATGTTATCATTTTTATAATAAAAACAGACCAAAAAAAAGCAAAAAAGCAACATTAACATTTTAAAAAATGAAAACTGCTTTCATTAAGAATCAGAATACACAGGGGTCTCCCCTGGTGGTGCAGCGGTTGAGCACTGGGCTGTGAAGCTGCCCACAGCCTCTGCAGCGCTGGTTCAATCCAGTCCCACATGGCACGCAGACCTCTCCTGCCATGTCCGCTGCTCCCCTCAGCAGCGTATTTCGTCATTCTGCCTGTTCCGCTCCCCACTCTGGCTCTGGTGAATTCTCTCACCCTCCCACCCTTCTGACTGTACCCAGTGCTTGTATAAATAAATAAATAAATCTTAAAAAAAAAAAATGTGTGTTAAAAACATATTAAAAAAAATCAGAATACACAAAGAAGTTCAAATTAATTTCAAAATATATTTTTAATGCAACATGTTTAAATCTATCAGACAAGTCCTAAAACATTCCACTTTCATCTCATATTCCACTTAGTTAAAATAATTACCAGTTCTTTTCCAAATTTTAAAGCTGTTATAATCTGTGCATTTCTGTGCTGTTAGTCATGTCACTGAGTCACCTTCATTAAGTGTGAAACCACAGATGCTGGCCACCAGTGCTTGCTAGCTGCATAGAATTGTGACATGTCCCAGAACTGAACGGCAATTTCCTATTTCTTTCTCCTATGGGTCAAAGATCCACTCAACACCCCTCTTCTACTCCTCACACCACACTATTTAGCAGTTAAGTTACACATTTCAGTTTATTTGCTGAATTTGATGGTGTTTGTTTTTATCAAGTTAGACTACAATTACCTTGTGGACAAGGATGTTTACTATCTCTCTCCAAACAAGGTATCAAGTACAAAAAAGTACTCAGTAATTCTTCCCTGATAGGCATAAGGGCAACATGAATGTAGGCAACTGTTTAAGTCGAGCTCCTTCAATTAGCAATTCCTTTTTAAAAATTATTATGTTTCTTTGCATTTGATCTAATTATTCAAGATGCAAATGCTGCAAGTTCTTGTTTACCCTACAGTCTTCATTTTGCAGAATGAAAATATTATACAGCTAAGTCTTTCCTTATTGAAAAAAACAGCAATACATAGACTAAAGTTACTGTTTAGACTTACAAGTGATTTTCTGAGACACTTAAGGGAAGGGGAATGTCAAGATTACACACAAAAGCAAGTATGAAGTAATGCAATAATTTCTGAACATTGTTTTAGCAACAAAGCCCTTTTTTCAGATGAAGTCTCACTGAGAATTCAATACTGAGAAGGCGTTATATGCCAGGGGTTAGAAGCCAGGGCTTCAGCAAAGCTTAGGGCTGGATTCAAATCTGGGCTCTGCAATTACTTTCTCTAGGACTCCTGGCATGTGGCTTCATCATATCTGTGCCTCCATTCCTTCCCCGTTTAAGGGGGATAATAATGGAACCCAATTTAAAGGAAAATTATTAACATTCAATTAGAGAGTGGATGTATCGCACAGAACACAATGCAAGTCTATAGACTCAATAAATAAAAATAAATTTAAAAAATAAGGCGTTCAGAATTAAATGAGGGTAGACACGGGCAAAGGTTTCCTAGAGGACTTGTCTCCTCTTCCCTAGCAGGAGCTGTAGAGGTGTGTCCTTGGAACACCTGGGTGCCCACAAAACAGTGTGAAAACAAGTGATAGGAATTATGAGGGTGTTGTAGGCAGATGGGATTAAGCTTTAAAAGGTAAATTTTAGTATACGCAGAGAAAGGAGAGTCTGAAAAAGAAACACTGGCTGAATATGAGATGACTCACTAACAGTCCTAACGCATGTTCAGCTTTGTGATGAAACGGGTGCTTTGTAAAACAGAAGTAAAGTAAAAGTATTATTGCAGGGGAAAGCATGGTTTGCAAGATTGACTCCTTACATTTACTTAAGCATAAAAATACCTTCTATAAATACTTTCACCATTGCTTAAAAGAATCTTAACACAAATGCACTGCATGTGCAGCAGACCTCTCCTGTCGCGCCCGCTGTTCTCCTCAGCAGTGTTTTAGGTCTGTCTGCCTGTTCTGCTCCCCACTCTGTCTCTGGTGAATCCTCTCACCCTCCCATGCCTCTGGCCTGTACCCCAGCTATTGTATAAATAAAAAAAAATCTTTAAAAAAATACATTGTATAAATAATCGGAAGAATGCGTATCTATAGGTAACCCAATTTTCAAGACTGACTTGAACAAAACCCACACTGGTATGAGTTCATAACCTTGTGAATTAAGGTCTAAGTCAACTGAGATCTTCAACTTTCATCAAAACCTACATACCCCAATTCTGTCGCCAAAAAAACTCCAGTGTTTTATGCAGTGCAAAATGCTTTTTCACCGCATAATGTACTCTCTGGATAAGCATATGAGAAAATCCAGCACGCTTTAGAAGATATGCCATTGTTGGTGAATGTCCAAAAGGATCAACAGCCCAACCAGATCGAGGCTTCACTCCTGTTGGTAAAGAAAATAAGTATTATTTTTTAAATTGATAAATGAAGTAAAAAGAAGTCCCAATACAATAAAGCCCAATACAATAAAGATTTATATGGTCTCCTGTATTCTAAGGCAAAGGAGCAAACTAGCATTATCCTATAACACTTCCAGCAGGACTCCCTGACTGTAAGATTCTGCCACTGTCATGTCCTCCCAGGCAGGGGGACCACACTGGAAGCTAATCATTTGGATTTGAAATAAGCAATCTGTCATGTTACAGATATTAGAAAGCCACTGCCTTCAACGAAGCTAAAGAAACAATTCAAGATCTCACAATACTGTCTTCTGTGGAAATGGAAAACCCAACCACTTGCTGTTATATAAAGAAATAAAAGCTACCCTATTTCAACTCCTACTCCCCAAACCCAAGATTAAAGAATTTTGAGGCTGTCTTTTATATATTACACAGTTCCAAATCATCTTAGTATATAATGCTAAAACTGGCCAAAAAACATATTTCATGAAATCTTAAAGATATTTGATACTCGTGCTTCCTCTCTATCTCGAAAGGATCAACAGAATTTTGCACACCTGACACACCCCAATTATAAGAGATATTGACACTTTCACAGAGGATAAAATGTAAAAATTAATGTACAGATTAGAATTAATGAAATAAGATTATTCAACTGGCAGTATACAAACATGAATTTTTATTCAAGATTCTCAAATAAGGCTTCTACATACAACCTATAATATTACTGTGTGTGTTTTTCTTATTCATCTATATTTTTAAGACTGCGACAGGCCCTAGGATTAAAAAAAAATGAGCTAATTCTATCTGCACAGACTCTAGTTACACAACACATGTTACACAACATCCAGAAAAGAGTGGAGAATTCTGTAACAATACTGAAGACTAAAGCACACACAGAAGTCAGAAAAGGATACTGAGAAGGAAGTCAGATTTCCGTGGGCCAGAATATGTCTCAAAATTCAAAGAACTGACCACATAAGATTTTTGCATTTCAAACGCTTAAATTCCTCAAAAACTATAAATAAATCTTAAACTCTATTAATTTGATATTTTTATGGCAGAATAGCATTAACAATTCTGAAACTACCATTCATATATTCCAAAATTAGAGCAAAGAAGCAAGGCTTTTTCCTGTTAAAAAAAGGACGTAGAGGGCCTCCCCGGTGGCGCAGTGGTTGAGTGCTGGGTTGCGAAGCTGCCCGCAGCCTCTACAGCGCCAGTTCGATCTCTGGCTGCTCCCCGGCCACCGGGGGAGGGTCCCACATGACGTGCAGACCTCTCCTGCCGCCCGCTGCTCCCCTCAGCAGTGTATTTCGGTCCTTCTGCCTGCTCTGCTCCCCGCTCTGGCTCTGGTGAATCCTCTCACCCTCCCGCGCTTCTGACTGTACCCAGTGCTTGTATAAACAAAACAAACAAACAAACAAATAAATAAATAAAATATGCCTCTATAAAAAAAATAAATAAAAATAAAAATAAAAAAAGGACGTAGAAATATGTAAATTATGGGAGGGGATATGTGATATTGAAATAAAAGATTAGTAATAACTTTATACACACACATACACACACATATATGTAAGTTATTGTGCACACACGTGCACACGCACACACACACATTTCCAAGGCACTAGGAAGGTTCTAGATGTAGCAACATCTCAGTACCAATAAACACAGTTCAGCATCCAGACCTTGGTCACTAAATATCTTTTTCTACTAAAAAAAAAAAAACCTCAAAGAAATGACTCATTCCAATATAATCAATAGATATTATTATAAACTAACAACTTTTATTTTGATACCTCAATTATAATCTATTGATATATTGGATAAAATAAAAATGCTTGAATCCACAAAATAAATAGGAAATAAAAAAAATAAAGCCACTCCTTTTAGTAGGATGCCAACTAATAATGATGGAATGATGCAGTTAAAAAATTATGAATGGATCCTAAAACTGAAAGTTTGATGAAGAATAGGGTATTTACCTATTATTAATGTATCACCCACCAATTAATAATTAATTAAAAAGGGAAAAATATAACAACAGTATAGCAAAGAAACTTAACAGACACAACTTAAGTAACTTGTCAAGGCTCGCATCACCAATACTGGAACAAAGAGGCATCATGCACCTCCTGAAGGATGCAATAAGAACCACAGAACATGATGCAGCAGTATACTAGTAAAATAAACAGATGGGACAAGACTACATTAAAAGATAAAAAAAAAAGCTTAAATAGTATTGTTCAGTAGTCACCCCCGATTTGCAGGGGTTAAGTTCCAAATCCCCCAGTGGCTGCCTGACACTGTGGATAGTACCTAACTCTAATATATATACTATGCTTTTCCCTACAAATACGTGTAAAAGTAATGAAAACTGTAAAAAATTAAAGATGTACTAAAATACTAAAATAAAATAAAATAAAATAAAATAAAAATAACAGCTACATGGATGACAGATAGATAGGATTGAAGAGATAAATAACTTGAATATAACCAAGCAGAAACAGACAAACTCAAATTAAGAGAATTTTTACAACAAAGGTCTACACTCCTCAAAAATGTCAAGGTCAAGTAATCCAAAGCAAGGTTGAGGAGTGGCACCTGACAAAGATAAAAGAGATATGACAACTAAATACAACACATGACCCTGTGTCAGATCCTGGACAGATTAGATCCAGGAGGAAGGAAAAATCAAAAACCAGTGTTTATACATTACTGACTCAATAAAATTTCAATATAGTAAATGAAGTAGACTGCAGTACTATATCACTCCTTCTATACCTGATTTGATAACTATCTTTTGTCCCAATTTTTAGGAAATACACAGTGAATTATTAAGAGAAAAAGGAACAAGATGCTTCCAACTTATACTCCAGTAGTTCAAAAAATATGCGTATGAATCTAAGGATAGGTATGTGGGAATCCTTCCCAAGGACTATGGTGGACTTTTTTGTTGTTGTTTTTTTAAAGATTTAGTTATTTATGCATACAAGAGCTGGGGTACAGGCCAGAGGTGTGTGTGTGTGTGGCGGGGTGGTGGTGAGAGAGAGGATTCACCAGAGACTGAGTGGGGAAGAGAAAAAGCAGATTGAAGACACTGCTGAGGGGGGCAGCAGGCGAAGTCAGGAGAGGTCTGCTGCGCCATGTGGGTTGCTCCCTGGCCAGCAGGGAATCAAACTCGTGCTACAGAGGCTGCTATTGCTTCATAGTGAGGTGCTTAACCCCTTGCGCCACCAGGGAGGCCCGGTGGACATTTTTGAAGCTTGAAATTATAATCCAATTAAGTTATAAAGTAAAACAGGGCATAGTAATCTTATGAACAAGAGTAAAACTAAAAATCAAATGCTACAAAGATGTCTGAGATTTTAGCATCACTGGCGTGAGTCTTTTACAAATTAAATCACTTCATCTAGAGGAGTGACAACCTTGCTAAAAGGGGATTTAAGAATCCCCGAGAGGTAATGATGTAGAAAAGACAGAAAGTAAACTACATTTTGTATAACGCTGATATGAAAGGATATGAGCTAGGAAGAGACCCAGAGAAGAGCCCAGATTACAAGTACCTCCATAGGGTTTTCCTTGGTGTATGTGAATATTTTTTAAAAGGCAGTAAAGGGACACATTTAGGGCAATGTACAGCATAAGAAAAATCCAAAATTTTATAAAAAGGGCATGTTTGTCAATAAAGGTAAGAAAGATGATGGAAAATATTTTGCGCTTTTGTGCAAGAATGAGATTACTAAAATATAACAATAAAAACTGTTAGAAAAAATTACAGGACTCATACCTATTTTTAGCAAACCTAATAGACTTGAAAATTAGAACATAAATAATATGAATAATATAAATAATAACATTGGATTATTCCAAGCACATTCAATAAAAAAGCATAAGAGAATGCAAGGGACAGTTTAAAATAAAAAGGCAACCATAAAACCTCAAACTTTAAAAAAGTCAAATTTGCATAATAAAGTTCATAAAGGAAGAAATTAGCAAGCAAAGATTAAATAATTTAAAAAGCACCCCATAACTAAATATAAAGTCTCCAAAATGTGGTGTTCTGAATTGTTTAGAAAAGAAAGAAAATACTAATGAACAAAATGCAGCAAAAACTACAATAAGAACAAACATTCTCAAATGTATATATTATCTAAACATAAGAACTAAAACCATGAAACTCCGAGGGGAGGAAAAAAAAACAAAACACACAGGAATAAATATTTATGATACTGGGGTAAAACAATGGTTTCTTTCCTATGACATGATAAATACAAGGGCAAAAAAAAAAAAAAAAAAAAAAAAAAAGTTAAACTGATCCTTACCAGAATTAAAACATTTGTGTATCAAAGGGCACATTCAAGAAACTGAAAAGACAGCCCACAGAATGGAAAAAATACCTGCAAATCCCTATCTGACAAGGAACTTTTATGAAGAATATAAAGAGAACTCTTAGAAGTCAACAATAAAAAAACAAAGAACACAATTTTAGAAGTAGGCAAGTAATTTGAATAGACATTTCTCCAAAGATGATATATAAATAGACAATATACACATAAAAAGATGCAAAACATCATTAGTCTTTAGGAAAATGTAACTCAAAACCATAATGAGATAGCATTTCACAAACACTGGTATGGTTAAAATAAAAAAGACAGACAGTAACAGATGTTAGTGAAGATAAAGAAAAATTAGAATCCTCACATATTGCTGGTGGAATGTAAAATGGTGCAGTCATTTTGGAAAACAATTTGGCAGCTCCTCAAAATGCCAACATTACCTCAGTAAAAATAATTTTTAAAAATGCTAACATACAGTTACCATATAACCCCACAGTTCCACTCCTAGGTACGCACCCCAAAGAAATGAAAACACACAACTCACAAAAAGTTGTAAAAATGTACATAGTAGCATTATTCAATAGTTAAGAGGGAGAGCAATCTAAATGTCCATCAAGTTAAGTAGAGTTAAACAAATGTGGTATAGCTACACAACAGAATATTATTGTCATAGAAACCAGAAAACATCATGCCTAGAGAAGGAAGCCAGTCACAGAAGGTCATACTGAATGATTCCATTCATGTGAATTTCCAGGAAAATCAAATCCATAAATACAAAAAGCTAATCAGTGCTCATCTGGGCCTGGGACAGGAAAGAAGGAGTGAAAGGGGTGTCACTATCAGTGGGCACAGGTTTATTTGGGGGATGTTGAAAAGTTCTAAAATAGATTGCAATGATGGCTGCACAACTCTGTGACTATAAAATTATTGAACAGAACATTTAAGTGGGTGAATTTTATGACACAGGAAACACAATTATAAATTTCAAAAATTGTATGCTGAGCAAAAGAAGCCAAATCCCAAAGACTCAGTTCATGTATTTATGAAGTTCTTACACAGGCAAAACTAATCTCCAGTGACAGAAGTTAGAGAGCATTGAGTAAAAGAGGAATGTTGAGGGGATGAGGGACCTTTTCTGAGGTGATGAAAATATGAGTAACTTTAATTCTACAGTTAAGGTTGGTAGGCTTCACTGCATGTAAATTCTATGTCAGTAGCAGCTAAACAAAGAAAACATCCATACAAACTGAGATTAATAAAGTGAACATTCCTGGCTTAGAACATAGCTAAATATTAAAGAAAAGTAGCAGCATGTATGGGGTGCACAACTCTACCTCCAGGCTGAATAATTTGCCAAGAAAACTTACAAGACTGCATATAGTCATACTCAACTGCCAGGATGAAGTATAGTGCGAAGATACAAAGCAAAATCAGCAAAGGGAAAAGGCACACAGGGAGTAATCCACAGGTAGTCAGAAAATGAGTCTTCCCCTGTGTTGTCACACAGTTTGTATTTAATCCCTCTTGCATTTAAATGTGTGTTCATGTGTTCATGATATCATGTGTTCATGATATGCCATCAAACCAAGGAAGCTCATAAGAGATTCAAAGCCCAAGGATGTTATTGGGGGTAGGTCAAGTAGGCACCTTCTGTCTAGTATATATAAAGATTGTAGATTCCCATAGGGAAAATAAGTATTTAACATAAACTACATTATTTTCACAAACAATTTAAACAGATTGAGAAACTTAGCATTTAGAAAATTCAAGAATTTAGTTTAGGGTCAATCTTGTGGAAGACCTTTGTAAGGATAAGTTTCAGACCTGCTATGTTATCTCTTTTGCATAGGCATAGCTGTGTCTTACTCTTAATAATAACAAAAACATAAGATGAGGCAGGGAAAACTTATGTTGAAATGTTTATAACTGGTAAATCTAGTTCAAGAGTTTATACAGGAGTTCTTTGTAGTATTCCGACAACTTAAATTTGAAAATATTCCAAAGTTAAAAGTAAAGAAAAAATTAATGGGAGTATGTGGGACCTTATCCCTAACAGAAAAATACCTTAAAATAATGCCTTAAAAACTTCAATTAAAAAAATGTATAGTAACCATACAGAAAACTATAAAGCTACACTGAGAAATATGATATACTAGAATTACATACTATGCCACACAATACAAGCATTATATTCCAAAGATTTCAATTAGTCAATTCCAGATTTTTATGAGTTGTATAAACACCTGATTTATCAATGCAGTCTTCTCTTCCCCATTTCTGACCTTCTTCCCCACTCATATGGTTCAGATATGGCTGAATCTGTCTTCCAAAAACTCCTCTTCCTGATAATCATTTCAAACAAACAAGGTTTCTAATTTCAGCTCCTCTATCTCTGCCCAAGGTAATGGCTCAGAGATAAAAACCCTTGACTCAAATAGGGCTAATTAGATAAGGTATTAAGTATAACTCCTTATGGTTATTATACTAAGAAAACAAGAGTCCCAGCTGCCTATGGTCATATTTCTATGAGAGAGCCAAGAGAAGACTAAGGTGATACAAAGAAGCAGAGCCAAAGGAGACAGTGCCCAGACAACATAATTTGAGTTCCCAAGGTCCAACCTCACCTAATGCTACATACAATATATCACTAAAATTCCTAATGATAAAACTAATAGTTTTCTTTCTCTTTTTCATTCTTTTTTTTTTTTTTTTTTTTTGCTTAAGCTAGTAAATGAGGTTTTTCCTCTTATGATCAAGAACCTTAACTAACAGATCATTAAAATCGCAGTGGGAATTCTTAGGAAAAAAATATTGCATAATAATATAAATAAATTAATTGATAAAATAACAGATGACAGAAGGTAAATGACCCTAAAAATGACTATATGTTATATATTGCACAGCTATCTAGGGGTTTATGATGAAAGAGTTTATGATAAATTAATGGAGAGTAAATTTTTCAACAGTAATCAGTACTGGGAAAATTAGTCATTTACAAAAACAAAATAGAGCCTCATCTCACATTCCTCAAAATTAATTGCCCAAACTATCACCAATGAAGGGAAAAGGCATCAATACATACCTCCTAGATTTTTTTCCAGCCACTGATGTCCTTCAATTAGTTGGTCAATTATGGCAAAATAATGTGTAGCAGCTTCATCAGGCATAACCCAGCCACCTGTCACAATTTCAAACTGACCATTTGCTAGTAAACTAAGGAGAAAATGATAGTTTATATTAACATATATATCAAACAGTTCAAATAAAAAATTAAAACAGCGTAAGTATTATGGACAGCCAGTATTTATACTAATCATTAAAAAAAAGTTTTTAAACCAGTGAAGGAACGTCACCCGTGAGGTCTGGTGAAAAAGATTCCTTAATAAAGTGTCTGAAGGAAAAAGAAAAATATCGGATGGTTTCACTTATAACAGGAATATAGGGGAACCAAATAAGACATCAGTGCAAAAATAATAACAACAGTACCAAACACAACAAAGCAAAAACAGACAATTATAAACCAGAGACATACTGCAGGGGAGGAGAAGGGAGAGAGGTGAGAGGGAGGGAGGGAGGAGCACAGAGGACTGTGGTGATGATGCATGGGTGCCTTGGGAAAGGAAATTCTACCGGAGACTCAATCTGAGGGGGCAGGGGGGAAGCAAATATTGTCTAAAAAAAAAAAATGCAAAAAATGATAAATGGTAAAATAAAAAAAATAATAAAAACCTAAATCATTTAAGAAAAAAAAGGGCCTCCCAGGTGGCGCAGCGGTTGAGCACTGGGTTGCGAAACTGCCCGCAGCCTCCGCGGTGCCGGTTCGATCCCCGGCTGCTCCCCGGCCACCGGAGGAGGGTCCCGCATGGCGCGCAGACCTCTCCTGCTGCCCGCTGCTCCCCTCAACAGTGTACTTCGGTCCTTCTGCCTGCTCTGCTCCCTGCTCTGGCTCTGGTGAAGTTTCTCACCCTCCCGCGCTTCTGACTGTACCCAGTACTTGTATAAATAAATAAATAAATCTTTAAAAAAAAAAAAAAAAAAAAAAAAAGAAATGAAGTGTCTGAGGTGAACCCACTTCCCTAGGCAAAGCTACAGAGTTCACTTCAGAAGTTCTCTTTCAAAAGAGTATAATCTAGCACACAACCTCAAAAGATTGCTGTCAGGAATCAGATCAGATTTACTTCTGAATCTTCAGAGCACCTAGCAAGTACATTACTCAAGAGTATGTGCCTAGTGTTGTTTATTGGAGGACTGTCAACTTAAGCACAGTATTTGTTTCAATAGACCTATGTCAAAAAAAATTAACATTCTAGTCCTTCTAACAATAATAATTTAATCTTGCAAACTACACAAAACTAATAGCAATAAAGGTGAAGTTAAATATCACAAGTCTCTGCAAATACAAACATTATAAAGCACTCTGCTCCAGATTCAGTTAAAATATAGGTTATAATTTGTTCTTCATTAGTAAGTGAAAAACATTAACATTATTATCATCTGTCCACATAGTACTCCTTTGCCGTAATACCATGCAAAGTAACCAGATGTTCAACCCTAGAAAATATTAATTGTACACGAAGATACCTTCCTCTGTGAAGGAAAATAAAAATTACAAACTTAAAAATTTCAAGAAATAACCTGAGAAAGTATGAAAATCCAGAATTTAAGCAAACAAGTAAAACCATAGTTTGAGTTTGCAATAAGATGGTTTGGAAAACAGTGTAAAATTTCAGGAAGACAAGAAACTTTAATAAGGATACTGGTCAATAGGTACCTACATCTAACAGTGAAGTACAAAGTAAAATTTAGTTGATATAGGCTAAAGACATAAAAGACAAATAAATATTTTCTATAAAGCATGTAACAGAAGCCACAGCAATATTACAACATCTGATTGATTCAAACATATGTGTGATCATATGACCAGTGACAGAGTAAATTATGGACACAATTTTTAAAAATAAATAAATGAATGGATAACTAATTACTTGTATAAATTTAAAAGACACTAATTAGGCCTGTATTGGCATAGGGATCACCAACTAAAATAATTTTACATGGAGAATCAGATGAATCAGTATAATGGCTAAAGAAATGTCCAGTCAAACCTCAGATTGTTACAAGTCCAAATCAAGGACTTATGCTAAGGAAGCTGGAAATTTCTAAATATTGAATTTCTTTAAGAACACAACAACAGGGCCTTCCCTGGGACCTCCCCTGGTGGCGCAGCAGTTGAGCCTGGGCTACAAAGCTGCCCACAGCCTCTGCAGCACCCGTTGGATCCCTGGCAGCCGGCGAGGGTCCCACATGGCGCCCAGACCTCTCCTGCCGGGCCCACTGATACTCTCAGCAGTGTATTTCGTCCATCTGCCTGTTCTGTTCCCCTGCTCTGGTGAATTCTCTCACTCTCCTGCACTTCTGACTCTACCCAGTGCTTGTATAAATAAGTAAATCTTAAAATAAAAAAAAGAACACAACAAAATATCAAATGGTATTCTGTCTTGTTTTTACTGCCACTGAAACTTTGCTCAGAATTAGTCCTATTCCTTATCTTTGTAGTGACATCTGATTTAGACACACTGAAAGTCACACTCCAGAGACCTCCCCTTATGCCTTAAGACCAGTATTGGGAAGCTGTGATGTCAGGACAAATTGGGAATTTAATCTCTGGTCGTCAAATACAGAAACTTGACCTCCTTATCTCAACATCCCAAGAAGCAGATCTTTTGGTAAATTTCAGAAATAAATTAGTCAATACAAAGAAACAAAGTTTTTGCTACTTTGGAATAGAGAACAGGAAGTACAGATTAAGAAATCTGTAAATTAAGTGGAAAAAACACTAACAGGGAAATGTTTCCTCTATAGCAGTTTTGTTTGGCTATATAGACCCTGTCCCAACATAAACAGGCTCCAAAAAGTAGCCAACCAAGCAAATAATCACAGATGGTATTTCCCCAACTCCACTTGTGAACAATCTTTTTTCCTTTCCCCATGATGCATGAGATGTTCCTGTGATCATTTTATGCTGAGATGCTATTCAGATGTACTGAATTCTTATCTACACAAATAGCTAAAGACTATCCTGTTTATTAATCTAGGGGCAATAACTTTCCAATTCATTAAAATGTTTTCCAAAATATTCTTACCTATTTATTTCATTCCCATCATTCCCAGCCTGGCTGGTTCCAGCTGCCCTCAAGTCTCAGCTCAAAAAAAAAGGTAACCCAGAGAAGTTTCTCTAAACATTCAACCAAAAGCAATACACTACCACACAACAGCATTAATCAGAAACAAAATCTACCAAGTTCATTTACAGGTCTCCTCTCTCCTTTCCCATCCTACTCACATTAGAATGTAAGACAGCAGGACTAGTGTATGCCATTTTGTTCACTTTTACTTGGAGAGCACCAAGAAGCATGCTTGGTACAACAGGGGCACTCTAATAGTGATTAGATGAATGAGGAAAAAGTAAATGAGACTCTCAGTTTAAAATTAATATTAACATTGAGCTTTTACATTAGATGAATCTCACAGACTTATGCAAAATAAACTGAACAGAGAAAGGTCAATAGGAGTGTGAATAAACATGGCATGAGATGAATTGACCTAAAATGCAGAAGAGGCAGAAATATAGAAGAAAAGAGGGGAGATGTTCATGAAAAAGTAACAGAGGGAATGATGAAATAGAAGATTAATGCACATCTGACTTGGGGTTTAATTCCAGGTCTCTAATGGGGTGGTAGTGTTAATACACAGACAGTAGAAATGAGTGCATAAGGGAAATGACCCTGCAATAATAAATAAAAATTTGAACAGGGCTACTGATCTGACAGTGAAATATCCAGAAAGAGGTAACGGTAAAAGTTTTTAAAAAGAACACTATTAAGTTGTGAGGAATAAAAACTAAACAAGAATGAGAAATCTGAAGAAAACAGAGTATAAAGGGCCAAACAGCAGGAAAACATAAGAGGAAATGGATGTGGTAAGAAATGCTAAAGTAAAGACAAAAAGAATAAATCATAAGTAAGCCTGAAACATTCTAGAAATAGCAATAAGACCCAATCTGCACTTCTATTGATTATCAAGGAGACATCTCCATAAACTGGGGAGGTACCATTTACCCATCCCCATTTCACTGAGGGTGGAGCTGAGCAGCCAAGTGATATAACACAGAAGGTAGGTGGGCTCTCAGGAGCAGAAGAGGAGAGAGCTCTTGTTCCTGTGGCCTTTTTGCATGTTGGTAATGCCAGTAAGGAGACATGGAAAGAGACACATGGAGGAGAGATATTTACAAGAGATACATGGGTGAGAAATACATGGGAGACTGACAATGGTGGCCTTTACTTTGATTTTGCTTCTTTCAACCTAGACTTGCCTGGTCCTTTTTGCCCTCTTTCTAGAGTTCCACGCCAGTGCTTAGACTTGCTTATAGGAGTCAGCAATCCCACATCAGGCCAACCCTGTTTGGCGTGGCATTTACCAACAAGGGGATGGGTAATTTTAGGTGTTTTATTGGGAAAAATATACTTTCTTTTCTCTATGCACACCATTTCTATTAAAAATCTTTCACAGGGCTTCCCCTGGTGGCACAGGCGATTGAGCATTGCACTGTGAAGCTGTCCACAGCCTCTGCAGTGCCAGCTCCATCCTGGCCGGCCGGCGAGGGTCCCACATGGTGTGGCAGACCTCCCCTGTCCCGCCTGCTGCTCCGCTCAGCAGTGTATTTCGTCATTCTGCCTGTTCTGTTCTCTGCTGTGTCTCTGGTGAATCCTCTCACCCTCCCACGCATCTGGCCTGTACCCCAGTTCTTGTATAAAATAAATAAATAAATCTTTAAAAAAAAATCTTTCATACTAAAAATCTTTCTACCTTTGTGCTCAAGGATGGCTGGATCTCTTTGAGAGCCTGCAAGTCTGGGGTCCCTGGACAAACCTGGGTGCACCTCAGTCTTGCACTAACACTTTCATGTTGTCAAAGGCATTTAAAAAGTAACTTCGACTTACTCAGAAGTAGACACATCCATCTCTAAGAGAGAAATTTTTTAAATACTTGAATTATTGAAATCGTCAACGAATTCAATCACAGTGATTAAAGCAAGCTCATAAGAAAATCAAGACAATATGTCATGGAAATCAGGGCACTGATTATTGTAACAACATGCTCACACAAGTTTTTAAGAAAAATTGCACAGGTAGGTGATAACAAGCATAAAGGAC